AATTATTAAAGATATTTATTTTATCATAAATTTTTATGCTTTTTATATTGTTAGTTTTTTATTAAATCTTAATGTTTTATTTTTGATTTTTTTACTAATATTTCTCTAGTAATATTTTTTTTAGTTTTTAATGATATGTCATCGATTTTATTTTTTTCACAAATTTCGTTTAGTGTTTTATAAAAAAAAATTAGTTAAACATTGAAATAAAATGATTATGATAATTATTATTACAACATTTTTAGTATATTTAATAAACTATTATTTATGATTGTTTCGCACTTATATTAAAATTATTCTTTAAATAAATTTAATTTATACTTTGTAAATATTTTTAATTATATATATATACAATATTATGTTCAAATTTATTTTAAATTTGAACATTTTTGGTAAACATTTACTTTTAAATTAAAGATATTATATCTGTTTTTTATTATATTTATATATAGATATATATATTTAATATAAACCATTTTTATGTTTTAGTCTTATACTTTTTGGGATAATTATTACTTAAAATGCTAGCTATATAGTGATCTTTTAAAAATAACAAGATTTTAATAAAATTTATTTTTAATATCAAAAACAAATAAAATTAATATTTTTAATAAGAAAAATGCAAATAATTTTAGCATGAATATTTATAATCTTAAATTATTTTTTTAAAAATATAATGATTACTGTTAATTTCAAATGCTAAATAATTTTTATATTTTTTATTATAATGATTTATTTAATAAATTTTAAAAATTTAATTATATAAACATATTAAACCATTTTTGTTTATAAATTTATTTATTCTCATTTAAAAAAAAAAATATTATGCATAATTTATATATTAATATTATTTGTTTTATTTATAATTGTTTTTATCATTATTTTATATTTTTTTATTAATGATTTAAACATAGAAAATTACATAATAATTTAATTTTTTTATTGTATATTAATTTATAATTATTACTAATATGAATGTAAAATTAATTAATAATTATTTTTATTATAACTTTATAATAAATTTATTTTATAATTATTTATTCCGGATATATATTTATTATAATTTATAAAATTACATAATTAATTATAAAAATAAATCTTGTAATATCTTTATTATTAAGAAATATTCATTTAATTTTTTTTTAATAAATATTATTGCCTATTTTTTAAAACCTGCTTTTTATTATTTTATTTGATAAAAGTCGTTTAAATATTGAAATATAATAATATAAATTTAAGAAAATTAAATAAAACTTAAAAAGTAAAGCCAAAAGAGAAATGCATATTTAAATAAAATTTTATCAATTTTAATATTTTTTTTCCTATTTAAAATTGAACACACATATAAATGTAGACATAATGATTTAGAAAAACAATTTATTTGGTAAACTTAAAATAATTTAGAAATATAACCTAAAGAATATTTCAATATGGATAGCCTCAAAAAAGTAAACTAATCAAATTAACTATTGATAACTCATACATTAATAAAAATATACCTCGTTAATTAAATGAAACTAAGAAACTTTATTTCTAAAGACTTTTAAAAGTGAATCCAATTTTAGAAAATAATAATTCACAAAAAATGGAAATAGCAGATTTTGGTATTTAGATTTATAAGGTATAATGATTTAAATTGCTGTTTCATCTAGAGGTATTACTGAATCTAATTTACATATTTATTATAACTAAAAATAAACATTAGGTAGAGATTTAGCAAACGTTATGGCTTGTGCTTACAATGAAATACACATAATTGAGAATTTTATTGAAGTTACTGTCCATGAAATTTTACAAAATTTAGGATTCAGTAGATTTTAAATGTAACTTTGGATAAATCACGGAAGTATAATAATAGTTTTTTTAAAAAATGTACTTTTAACTGCTAGGAAATATTATAATTGTCTTAATATGGAAGGTATGCAACTTGAAAATGAAGGAGGAGCTGGCTCTCTAGATTCTCATTTGGAATAAATACTTGTTTAAAACGAAATGATGATGTCTAGTGATGTAATTACGGATGCTTAATTATCAGTTCATACGATTGCTTTATTAAGAGATACTGGTTATTTTACTGAAGTAAATGAAAGCATGGCTGATAACCTTTATTGGGGTAAAGGAAAAGGATGTTAATTTGTAATGGAAGGATGCTATACTAAACAAAAATTTAATGAGTTCCCATCAGAACATAAAATTTAATGTTCTTTCGAAAATGATGGATATGGTGAACCTACTACTACTCCTTTCTTAGATAATTGTATGATGAAAAGTGTTTATGGCAATAAATTGTTTACTTCTTTTAAATAATGATTTTTATATGTATTTACAAACTTATGGAATTAATAGTAAATGCATTGTCTCAACAAGTAATAATGGAGTTAAATTTTTAAACGATATATAAAAAAAATGTCATATATTTTCGAGTTCGCCTGATAAGAGATCTATTACTGTTTATTTTACTTAAATTAAAAGATAAATTATTTATACTAAAAAAGGAGAAATAATGACTATTCAATCTCAAAATAATAAATTTGGTAAATTTGTTTGTTCTTCTTCATTTTCTTAATTCTGTGATTAGGTGTGCAAATCATTGTAGCTTTGTGGGTGTTTTTGTAAGAGGAGTCTATTTATGTTTAACTGGATGGAGGGGGGATACATTGTTCTGTAAAATGTCATTAAGTAGTATTATATTAGTATGTGTAAATCAATATCCTGGAAATCAAATAATTATTTCAGATAAATCTTGTTAAAACTTGTGTCTTAATGGTTATTTTAGACATGGTCCAAAAGAAATGCTTTTATGTCATCTTTTAAATAAAATATTTAAAAGAGGAATAGCTTATGATTGCATACTTTGTTAATTTTTAACAACACTAAATTAATATAATATGGTTAATAAAAGACAAAACTATAGATATAATATATCATTACTTTAATATAATTAATTAAATAAAATTTTAATAGTAAAAGTAAACGTATAAAATGATTTTATATTACAAATTTAAATATATATTTTTATAATTAAATTAATTTTTTTTAATATAAAACATTTTTAATAAGTTAATAAATTATACATTTAATAAAAAAAATATAATTTTATAATAAAAATAAAAAGTATTACAAAAATTAATAATCTTAAATGAAAATTATTATTACTCTGATATATTAAATTTTTAAACATTGTAATAAATAGAAAATTAAATATTATATTACAAATTATTATATAAATAATTTATTAATATAATATATATATAAAAAATTATTTTAAATATATATATATATATATATATATATATATATATATATATATATAATATAATATATAATATTGTTATAATTATAAAAATTATAATTAATTTTTCAAAAAAATCATAAAAATATATTTTTATATTAAAAGTAAATAATATATATATTATTAATTTATTATAATAAAATAACTATAATAAATTATTTAATTTTTTTTTTATTTTTTATATATTTATTTATAAAAATATAAATATATTTTTTTATCTTTATTTTTATTTTAATATATATTTATTTTTTATTATTTAAAAATATAAATATTTATATGAAAAATGGATTTTAATAAAAAATAAAATAAAAATTTATATTATATATATATATATTTATAATTATTCTTTTTAAAAAAATATATATATATAATTTTTTTTTATCATTCATTATTTTTATTATTCCAATTATTTTTTATTAATCATCATATACTACTTATCAATTTAATATTGGAACACATTAACCGTTTCTATTTAGTTGTGTCAAAAATTAACAAGCTGTGCAATTATTAGCTGTTCCTCCATTACATCTTTTACATTATGCATCGCATTATTAGCATATATTACCATGTTTGTAATAACCATTAGGACAATTGGTTTAGCAACTTCTATCAGGACCAATTACTAAATTTTAAGGACATTAATTTACACATTGATTGTTAAATACTACTTAATTACATTTTACAGAGCAATCAATTCCCCCCCATCCAGGTAGACATGAACAAATTCCTCTTACACAAACACCCACTTAGCTACAATGATTCATACATATAGGAACTGAATCACAGAATTAAATAAATGAGGAAGGGCAAGCAATCTTACCATATCTATCATTATTAGGAACAATTTGCATAACTGATCCTTCTTTAGTACAAATAACTTGTCTTTTAATTTAAGGAAAAGTAATAGTAATAGATCTCAAATCAGGAGAACATTAATACTAATGACATCTTCTTTAACTATCATTTGTAAATTTAACTCCATTAGCACTTGTTGAGGTAAAGCATTTACTATTAAAGCCATAAACTTCTAATACCGCATCAACATCTTTATTTATAAAATTATTTTTAAAAGAAGTACACAATTTATTGCCATAAATACTTTTCATCATACAATTATCTAAGAAAGGAGTAGTAGTAGGTTCACCATATCCATCATTTTCGAAAGAACATTAAATTTTACGTTCTGATGGGAACTCATTAAATTTTTGTTTACTATAGCATCCTTCCATTACAAATGAACATCCTTTTCCTTTACCCCAATAAAGGTTATCAGCCATGTTTTCATTTACTTCAGCAAAATAACCAGTATCTTTTAATAAAGCAATAGTATGAACTGATAATTAAGCATCCGTAATTACATCACTAGACATCATCATTTCATTTTAAACAAGTAGTTATTCCCAATGAGAACCTAGAGAGCCAGATCCTCCTTCATTTTCAAGTTACATACCTTCCATAGTAGGACAATTATAATATTTCCTAGCAGTTAAAAGTATATTTTTTGAGTAAACTATTGATGTTTTTAAACCTCTAATAATTACATCTCTTGTTATTTTAGGTAATCCATATTATCCATAATATTTTCCTGTATCAGGATCTATCCAAAGTTGCATTTAAAATCCACTAAATCCTAGGACATGTAAAATTTCATGCACAATAGTTTCAAGATCATTCTCAAATGATTCATTGTCATCTTTTAAACCGAATACTCCAAAATTAATTTAGATTCTACCAAAAGAAGGTCTCAAGTGTTACTCGTTGTGAGCACACACACAAGCGTTTGCTATATCTTTATCTTATGGTGCATTTTTAGCTATGACATAAATATTTAAATCAGAATTAGGAATACCTATGGTTACAGCAGAAGTTGGAATTCTTACACCTAAGCATTCTAATTTCCATATACTGCTGTTTTTTGGAAACATGTTATTTCCTTAAATTGGGTATACTTTTAAAAGTTTTTAAAAATACATTTTAGCTGACTCCAATAATCTAAATACATAATTTTATTATTTAGGAGATAGACTTTTATCAAAGAATGAGTAATCAAAAGTCATTCTAATTGGTTAGCTTTATTTAAAATTTCCATAATTAAGTATTCGTTTAGAATATATTTCTTAATCATTTGAAAGTCTATCATAAAAAGTCTTTTCTAACTCATGATGTTTACATTTATGCGTATGTGCAATTCCGACTAGCAAAAAAACTGCTAAAATTAATAAAATTTTATTTTTAATATACATTTAATTTTTTAATTATTTTTATTATTAATATTTATTTTATTAAATTTTTTATATTTCAATAATTAAAATAATTTTGGTACTATAAAAGATGAGGTTATTAAATTAATATATAAAATTTATTAAATAAAAAAAAAAATTATAATTTTATAATTAAGGCATATATAAAATTTATAAAAGAAAAATTTTAATATGAATTAACAAAATTATTTTTATAATTATTTTTAAGTTTTTAAATATTATAATAAATATGTATCTTTATATAGTGATTAATAAATTAATGCTTTTAAATTTATATAAACAAACAAAAAATTATTATTGAATTTTAATATATTTTATAAAAAAATTATATTCACAAAAAAAAAATACAATTATATTTTATATTAAAAATTATTATATATAATTATTAAAATTATTATATTTAATCAAGAAAAAAAAAAAAATTGTAAAATAAAATAAAATATATAATAATTATAAATATATATATAAATTAAAATATATTTTAAGTAAAATATGAAAATATAATAAAAAAAAATATATATAAATTAAAAATTATAATAATAATAATAATAAAAAAATATATAATATTAATCTATTTAATAAAAAGAAATTTATAAAATAATTAAAAAAAGTAAACAAAAAAATTATTAAATATATAAAAATGCATTTAAATTTTATATATAATATAATATTCTTTAGAAAAAAATATATGATATTATTTGAAACTTAATTATTAATTTTTTTAAAAAGAATCAAATGCTTAAAAGTATTTGTTTAGGTCAATTTTTTTACATTTTTCTTATTAAAAATATTAATTTAGTTTACATTAGAAATATTTTTTTTTTTTTTTAAAACTCTTGTTATTTTTTAAAACAAAATTAAGAAGCATTTAAAAAATAATTGCAAAAAATAAAATAAAAAAAAATAAAAAAAGATTATATTAATATATATTTTTTATATATTTATATATATTTATATATAATATATTAATATAAATTATTTATATTTTTTAACTATACTTTTACCATTATTATTACAATTAAAAATAAAATTTTGCGTATTATTGTATAAATATAAAAAAAAATATATATTTAAATAAAAAATTAAATGAAATAAATAAAATAGTTATTAAAATAATAAAAATTACATAATTAAATAAAAAGAAAATTTATGTAAATCATATTATAAAAGTTGCAATTTTTGATATCAAATGCAAAATAAAAAATATAAACAATAAGGAAAAAATATAAATAAATTTTTAAATAATGTTTACAAAGAATATAAAAATTAAAATTGTAGAAAAAATAAATATAAAAAAAATGATGGAAATTAAAATAAATAAAAATATATATATAATAATAAAAAAAAATAGTTAATAAAAATAAAAAAAATTAAAAATAAAAATATATATTAATAATTTTTATTATATTTATTAAGTAAAAATTAATTAAAATATAAATAAATATATTATTTTTTTATTTAATTATATTGTATTATAAATATATTTTCTTTTTTTTTAATTTACAACTTTAAATTAATTTTTTAAATATATAAAATCAATTTTTTTATTTTTTATTTTAAGTTTTTAATTATCAAATAACAAATTGCAATTTATTTTAATTAACTTATTTATTATTATTTTATTATTTTTTTTTTTTTATAATATATTTCTGTTAATAATTTATTTATTTATTATCATATAATAATTTATAAAAACCTAAAATATATATTTTTTTTATATGTATATATATAATATTTTGTAATAATAATTTTTTTTAATAATCATAAAAAAATTTTGATTATATATATTTTTAATTTTTAAATATTAATTTATTCATAATAATTTTATTTTTTAAATAAAATTATATAATAATTAAAACAACTTAATATTATTTAATAATTTTAATATTAATATAATAATATATTAAATCTTATATAAATAAAATTATTTTAATTAAAATAATATATTTTAAATAATATAAAATTACAATATCAAATAAAAGATAAAATATTTTTATATAAAATTTATTCGTATTATTTTATTTTTAGTTAAATTTTTAAAATATAATTAAAAAAATAATTAAATATATTTATATTCGTATTAATTTTCAAATTCAATAATAAATCTTTAAAATAAATGTAAAAATTATTATCATTCGATATTAACATTATCATTTTTTTTTTAAAAAAAAAATCTAAATCTTAAATTTATTTATTTTTATTGTTATTTACATTTTTGTTATCAAAAATTTTATTTTTGTTTGTTTTTGATATTAAGTATTTTATTTAATAAAAATCATATTAATTTTTTTAAATTTCATTATGTTTTTTTCTAAATAATTATTTCAAAAACTATCTTTTATAATATAAAAATGGTTTACTTTTAATATACATATATATATTAATAAAATAAAATGAGATATATAATCCCTGTATTTAAAATAATA